ATAACTTTTATAGAATAAAACAACTTTCTGAGACAATTCTTTGTACAAACCTTTGTGGAAGAACCAGTGGTATCCGGTAAAGTAAGCTGGCGACAATGGGAAGGGTCCAAGATTTCAGCTAATTGCCGAGGTTGTGGTTTGTCTGCTGACTCATCGGCCATCCAATTATCTAAAGCACCAGCATTAGCAGCAGCACCACCATTTGGGTTTGGACACGTGTGGTCTGTGAATAGAGTTTTAATATGTGTGTTTGGTCTAGGATTCTTGCAAAAACTGTGCTGCCAATTAAGACTGCAAAGAAAACACATGCGCAATGAATCCTCTCATGCAAACTTAGTCAGCAGCAAATATCATGGTCATGAGGAGAAAAAAAAGAAAAACCACACCTTTGATTAATCAGAGTCCGCAGTCTCGAAGAGCTCAAGGTAGGGAACATCAATTTCTCACGAAAAAGAGGATTCGCTTCGATTAGTCTTTTAACTTCTCCTAACACTATGCTCCGAGCATTTTGAGTGTTTCCATATGTGGAAAGCTGCGGATTTAACCTGCATTTAATAGAGAACCGAATTTCTGAATATCATTGATGTAGAATTCAATCCACAAAGGCAAACAATAGAGCAACTGGAGCATCACACCCTTTTTCACATTCCTATTGGCATTTTAACACACATCCTAATCAAGTCTTGTTTACCTAACTTCCAAATTCCCTCTTTTCTATCACAACTGAAATGTCTACAAGTAGACTGGATTCCATATCAAAAGTACCTGAAGTTTGGCAAATTTAAAAGTAGAGTAATTTCTTTGTAGACTCCCTCGTTGGAAGTGGAGACGAATGCCAGATCGTTGTAAAGTATCTCGGCTGCTTTTGCTATATCTTGCCTGTAGAAGAGACATGAGATGATATCACACTCTGATACCACAAAAGAAAAAGATATCTAGAAGAGAGAAGCAGATTGACATGGTAGGTTATTTCATACCGATCAAGAGCCTCAAGATACTTTTGCTTCCTAATCTCAAAGAATATCTTCGTTGAGTGTCTGTTATCATCAAGCTTGGTAAAACCTGACAAGTACGTCTCAACTTCATCCCATACTCCAGCAAGAAATTTCTCACCAAAATACTCTGTATTGAAGAAGAATCCCGACTCTTTCTCGAGCCTATACAACAATACAACAACAACAATGTTACCAGTCTCAGGGCATATA